TCTTAAGGCCTAGTTGTTACATGCTGTTGAGTCAAGTACAACTAATACAGACTGTGTGAAGAACAGATCTGAACCTTGTCCTGTCCTGTGCTATCCTCATACTTCCTGATACAGCAGAGCCCCTCACAGCATTGTGTCAATCCACGTGGTTGAGGGTCTTCCTCTCCTTTGCTGACCCTCTGCCTTTCCAAGCATGATGTGCCTCTCCAAGAAACAGCCTCTCCTGGCAAAGAGGGGAAGCTTTGCAATCTTTGCCTCCAAACAGCACTCTGGCTGCATTTTCTCCAAGACATTTGTTTGTTCTTTTGGCAGCCCATGGGATGTTCAGTAACTCTTCTCCAACACCACAGCTCAAAGGCATCAATTCTCTTTCTATCATCCCTAGTCATTATCCAGCTTTCAAATACATAGCAAGTGATCAGAAAGACCTTCATGAATCAGACACACTTTAGTACTCAAACTGATTATCAATGATCCTTAATAACTTGGCGAGGTCCCTAACTGCAGACTTTCCCAGTGCAAAATGATTTCCTGACTCCTCATACCAAGTGTGATGACTGTCGATCCAAATAAGATTAAGTTATTGACAGTTTCAGTCTTTTCATGATGTTTCATCTTATCATGATGTTGCCTATTGGTTCAGTAGTAAGAATTTGTGTTTTCTTAACATTAAGATGCAATCAATATTGAAGGCTGTATTCTTTGAACTTCTGTAACAAGTGCTTCAAGCCCTCCTCATTTTCAGGAAACAAGGTGGTATCATCTGCATAACGAAGGCTATGGACGAGTCTTTTTCCAATCCTGATACCACATTTTTCTTCATAGAGTCCAACTTCTCGAATAATTTACTCAGCATACAGATTGAACAGGTATGGAGAGAGAATACAACCCTCACACACACACCTTTCCTACTTTTAAACAATGTAGTCAGTGCTCCCTTACTCTGTTCCCACAACAGCCTCTTGGTCTAGGTTTCACATTGGCACAATCAAGTGTTCTGGAATTCCCATTCTTCTCAATATTAGGATCCACACAGTTAAACATGGCATAGTGATTGACAAAAGACTTATCAACATGCTACATTATAAAGATGACACAACCTCACAAGTTGAAAGTAAGGCTCACTTGAACCATTTGAAGAAAGTTAAACACTGTAGCCTACAAGGAGGATTGCATCTCAACCTCAAGAAAACAGTATGTCTTCATATATAATCAAGATGTATTATACATCATATTGTTACAATATGAACAATAAGAAGACATTAGTGTTATTAGGGGCAATCAAGTCGACTATAACTCATAGCTTTTCTACAAAAAATAAAATAGACTTTAATGCTGCCTCACCCTTTGCCATCCTCATCAGCTCTGATGTATTTAAGCTTATTGTTACAGTCACTGTGTCACTCCATCTCATTGAGGCTCTTCCCCTTCTTCACTGACCTTCCACTTTTCTGTGCATGATGTCCTACTCCAAGAACTGGTCACTTCCAACAGCATGCCCCAGAAATGTGATCCAGTGTTACACCATCCATCACATACCTCTCCAGTTCTTATCTGTTTGTTTTTCTTGGCAGTCCATGAGATATTCAGTACTTTCTTTAACACCACAACTCAAAGGCATTCTTCTGTCCTCTTAATTCACTGACCAACTCTCAGATGCATAACAAGTAAATGGAAAGACCATGGCTTGGATCAGGAGCACCTTAGTCTTTGAAGTGACATCTCCACCACTTTGGAGAGGTTCCTCCCTGCAGACTTTCCCAATGTAATATATCTTCTGATTTACTGAATGCTGATTCTAAGGTTGTTGACTATAGATTCAGTGAGATGAAATCACTAACATCTACAGACTTTTTCTCATCTATCATAATGTTGCCTACCAATCCCGTGGTGAAGATTTTTGTCTTCTTGATGTTGAGATATAATCCATATTGAAGCCTATACTCTTTGATCTTCTGCAGCAAGCAAGGTTGTGTCATCTGCATAATGCAGGTTGTTGATGAGTCTTCCTCTGATCCAGATGCCACGTTCGTCCTCATAAACTTCATCTTCTTGAATGATTTGCTGAGCAAACAGACTGAGCAGGGATGGAGAAGGACACAACCTCGACACACACCTGTCTTAATTTTAAACCATGCCAGTGTTCCCTTGCCCCGTTTACAGAGCACCTTCTTGGTTTCACATGAGCACAATCCTCAATTTCTTCATCTTTGGCTTTAGTTGTAGGTGTGTATATTTGAATAACACTTGTATTAGCAGGTCTTCCTTGTATGGGTGTGGATAATATTCTGTCACAGCACTGAACTTGATCTTGAGTTTGTCTTGTTTACTATTAACCCAACTCCACCCATTCTTCCATAATTTTTCACCCCAAGCGTAGTAGGTCATACGATTGTCATATTCAAAGAGGCCAATGCAAGTCTATCTTAGCTCGTGAAAGCCTAGAATGTCCATCTTTATATGTTCCATTTCATTTTTAATTTTTTTTATTGGTTTGCTTAAAAAGTTTGTATACATTGTATTTCACATTATTCTTCATTCATATTATGTTTCATACAATCATTCTCACCCATCATGTTTTATAAAATTAACCACCATCGGACCTTACACCCATCATTATCCTGTCTTTCCATCTGGATCCTTCCCATTTCCTTCCCCCTCTCCCTCCACCCACCAAACTTTGCAACACTGTGGTTTCGCCCCTACTCATCCACACCCTTCTGCTCCCACCTCTTTCTGCACCTTAGGTTCCCATACACGTGTTACTAGTTGTTGTTGTTGTTGCTGTCATTAAATCATAGACAACTCATAGTGACCCTGTGAATGAAGACCTAAACACTTGTATAACTTTCATCATTTCTCCAAGTTCATAGGGTTTCTGAAGACAAGCTATTTCAGAAGTGAATGCCACTCCTGCTTTCAACCTTTTTTTAACAGGGGAGCTCCACCAAGGGTAACCATTATCACATTTGACACATCAGTGTCACAGTGTTCAGCAGCACAGCAACCACGAGTTACCTCTGTACAGCAAATGGACAAACCAGTGCTACACTTAGAAGAATGTTTGACCAAAACCAATTAAAACCAGGCCTGAGGGCTGCGGATTAAAATCACCCACCTTTGACTTGGTAGCATCACTCTCTGTCCACTAGGCCAACTGAGCCTCAACTCCCAATTTTCCTAGAGTCATACTTTGTATATTGCGTGTTCCAATTATTAGTGGATGTCTATAGCGATTTCTTCTCATTATTTTAGTGTTTCCACTCTAAAAGGTCTACCTCTAGTCAACTACGTCTAATAGTGTTTTTCTATTGTTTGTCAGGTTTTCAGAGACCCACTATGTCAGGTAATTGGTCAGTTCTCCTTCTGAGTTGGCCTTAATCGGGAAATGGCATTGAAACTTGCCCACCAGAGGTGACCCACTGGTACTGAACACCGGTGGGAGAGAGTCCAGCATCAGAGCAGCCAGCAAGGTACACAAGACTGGACGTTATTGTGACAGATGAAAAACAGTAACTACATAAAAACAAGCTTGTTCACCTTTTCAGGACATTGCTGTTGTTGTTGTTGTTAGGTGTCGTTGAGTTGAGTACAACTCATAGCAACCCTATGAACTAAAGATCTGAACCCTGTTCTATCCTGCGCCATCCTCACACTTCCTGACACACTAAAGCCCATTGCAGCAGTCACCATGTCAATCCACCTGGTTGAGGGTCTTCCTCTCCTTCACTGACCCTCCACCCTTCCCAGCATCACGTCCCTCTCCAAGGAGTAGTCCCTCCAGAAACATGCCCGAAGTATGTGCGGTGAAGCCTAATCATTCTTGCCTCAAAAGAGCACTCCAGCTGCACCATTCTCTTCACCGTCCATGGGATGTTCAGTGAATCAATTACTTCAAACCACTAAAGGTATTCAAAAAGCATTTTAAAGAGGCCCTTGGCAGCCGATCTGCCCAATGAAACACATCTTCTGATTTCCTGACTATGAGTGTTAACTGTGGATTCAAATAAAATGAAACCCTTAACAACCTCCGTCATTTCTCTGAATATCCTGATGTTGCCTTTTGGTCTAGAAGAGTTTCTATTTCCTTGATGCTGAGGTGGAATCCAGTCTTACCTGTAACCTCACCATTAGGATGTGAGAGGTAACCACACCCTACTTGAACATCAATATGATATTTAAAGCAACACTCAGTCAAAGAGGAAACAGCACCCAGTCTTGTGCCCAGCAGCTGCAGATATGACCAGGGACAGCATCAACTGCTACTAGGTGTTAGGGCGTCAACTCCAACTCATGCTATTGCTGCTGCTGTCAGGTGTCACTGAATCTATTACAACTCATTGCAACCCTGTGAACAACAGATATGAACTTGTCCTAAGCCTGTGCCGTCCTCATGATTTCTGATACGCTCAAGCTCACTCCCACAGTTACTATGACAACAGAACAGAATGTTGTCCAGGTACAGCATCCTCTCAATCACTGCTACACTGTTGCTGTCACCCTGTCTGTCCATCTCACTAAAGATCCTGTATTTTCTGCCAACTCTTCCCTTTACCAAGCGCGACGACTCCAGTGACTGCTCTCTCCACTAGGCTGTTAACTGTTGCTAGATGTCATCAAGTTGACCCTACAAACAACAGAGCCTTTCCCATCCTGCTTCTTCCTTTACCAGACTTGTGTAGCGTCGTCAGAACCAACCCAGAGCTGACCCTCCAGCAGGTTTTCAAAGGCAGTTAATCACATGGGAGGAGACTGTCCATCCTTCTCCCACAGAGCAGCTGGCAGCCTTGAACTGTGTGCCTTTGGGATTGTAGCATAGCTTCTTGCCACTAGGCCACCAGAGCAGTTAATGTATTGATAATAACCCAGTCAGTACCTGTACAATCTATCATCTCACCCCTTTCAACAAATAAAGTGGTCAGTACACTTTCACAAACATCAGCCTTTCAGATCTAGCGAATCAAGTACCATAAAAGAAAATAATCATCATGTTTCCTTACCTCTTGTCCTCGACAAAACCATCTCCTTTATTATCTGCATAATAACGCGGCCCAGTATCGTGACTGAGATCAGATGATACACTCTCCACGGGGTCAAAGCCAGGAACCTAGGAGAGAAAACAGACACATTACCCGGCCATCAAGGATTTCCTTTCTGTCCTTTGAAGATTTTGTTCCTCCAATAAAACCAAAAGGCATTCAGGAATTCTTTCACTTTTAAAAAAATCCCCTCGCATGACCACAGGAAAGCTACTGGACAGACAGGGATGTCAGGAGGATGAAAACACTTGAGTCACGTGTGTTTCAGAGGTGGGCATCTGGCTGTAAGCTCACATGGGGATGGAGGAGCTGCTATCTCAAGAGTGGCCCGGACACCACCCACACGGCAGCCTCCTCCACGACCAGATGGAGAACAGATCCGGCCTGGAACGGAGCTGGGACCCACTGGTGAGGCAGAGCTGGGGGAGCAGGGGCAGGGTTAGCGCCATGTCTGCGCGGTGCTCTGACCACACTGCCCTCGTATCCTCTTACGTCCAGGTTGGTTTTATGTCATCATCGTTAGTCAGACTCTTCCAGCCCCCAGTTGTTTAAGGACAGCAGGACAGGGCCTCTCCTCCTTATCTCCTTTAAGGCGGGAGACCTGTACTTTGGGATGTAACTTTCTAATAAATCTATCTTTACTTTTTTACCACTTCTCCCTCGTTGTCTTTTTCTTCTTTGCCCCTATGCTTTAATAAAAAGTGCAGGTTGACTGCACTTTAATATTCCATGTGCAGGACCTCGCAAGAGTACTGAAGAGCAATGACGTCAGAGTGGAGACTAAGGTGCGCCTGATCTGGGCTGTAGTCTTTGCAATTACATGCTATGCATCAGAGAGTTGGACAGTGAATAGGGATGGTAGAAAGAGAATTGATGCCTTTGAGCTGTGGTGCTGGAGAAGAGTGCTGAATATACTACGGACTGCTAGGAGAACAAACAGGTTTGTCCTGGAGAGGATGAAGGCGGAAGGCCCTTTGGAGTCAAGGATTCTGAAGCTTCATCTGACATATTTTGGACATGTTGCAAGGAGGGACTGGTCCTTGGAGAGGGACACCATGTTTGGGAGAGTGGAGGGGCAGCAAAGGAGAGGAAGACCTTCGATGAGATGGATCGATTCTGTGAGTGGAGCAGTGGGAATAAGTGTGTTTGAGATGGCTAGGTTGGAACAGGATAGAAAAGCATTTGGACCTCTTGTACATAGGGTCGCTATGAGTCGCAAGTGACTCGATGGCACATAACAACAGCAAACAACAACAATGTCTGCTGTACACTGTGCTACCAGTGTGGGTGGGACCACTGAATTTATCTTTGAGGGGAAGAATCTTTCATCAGCTTTTTTAGGTGAAATGCTTTTCTGTCAGGTATTGTACTAAAGGCTGGGCTTCCAAATTAAAGATAGACAAGGAAGAAGGACTGACCATCCGCTTCCAAAGTTAACAGGCCTTCAAAAACCCTCTGAACAACTGAAGAGTAGAAGTTGTTGACTATAGAGATACAGCCTGTTCCTGGGTCCTTGGCGACTGTCCCCTCCTCTAGTCCTTTTCTTCCTGGCATTCCTTTTGCCTATGTGAGAAGGGAGAGCCAGAGCACTGACTTCAGGCTAGTATTTATGGTGCTGAAATCTGGGTTAACTTGAGAGAACAGATTTCCTACCATCATCACGTAGACACACAGACCCAAACAGCTTATGGGATGCAGAACCTAGGTTCCTATTTCCAGCCACGGGAGACACATTCCTGATTGGACAGTTCAGGCAACTTGACAACTGGAGCTAAAATTCCAAGAGTGCCTAAAAAACCTGACTGAGCAGACTCTCCACCAAAGAAGGAATTTCTAAATATCAAACGGTCTTGGTATATGTTACTTAGGACTTTAATTGGTATTTAAAGAAAAAAATAGTAACAGGAGAGGGCCATAATGCTTGGAAAGGTGAAGATTCTTGGCAACATGGGCGGGCACAGTGACTGCAGCAGTGGGCTCAGGGGTGTCAGAGATGATGAAGAGGGCACAGAACAGGGCAGGGCTCAGACCTGTCGGTCACTGGGTTGCTGTGAGTCGCACTTGACCTGTTCTGTGCCCTCTTCATCATCTGTGATGTGCCCTCTTCATCATCTGAAGGCTGTGTTGTCAGAGAGCTCCTCAGAGGCAAGGGTGGTGAACTTTGCCTCACATATTACGGGCATCTTGTCAGGAAGGGTCAGTCCTTGGAAAAAGACATCATGCCGGGAAAGGTGGAGGGGGCAGAGAGAGAGAAGAAGACCCTCAACGAGATGGACTGACACAGTGCCTGTCACACATGTAACAGATGAGGGAGAGAATAATTTAAAAACGATATATGATTGGGTATTGTGGTTATCACAAGAGTCCAGAATTAAGGTTGCTCGGGGTGGTGGGAGGGATGCGGGGG